AAGAAATTAAAAAAAATAATTATTTTATTTTATGCAATTTTAATATAAAAATTATTTTTTTTTAATAAAAAATAATAAATTGAATTGTGTATTATTATTTTTTGACAGTTCCGAATTAAAAAAAAATATTCAAACTAATTTTAATTAATCCCGAATTAATTTCTGATTAATGATTATCTATCATAAAGTACAATTTTATTAATTTTTGGTTAAATTAATTTATTATTTTTTTAACTGAATTATAGTAAACTTTTAATATAAATTTATATATATTTTATTTAAAATTAAATTTTCTAAATGAATTGTTTGACATTTTTTTTTTAATTTCTTATCAAAATTAAAAAACAAATGTTAAATTTCGTTTCAATTAATTTAATAGGTTAAAAAATAATTTTTTAAATCACGAATTTTACAAAAAAATTAAATATAATTCAATTTATTAAGTGAAAATTGATTCAAAGAAAATTAACAATTCTTTATTCTATTTTTATGGTATTTATTTCGATTACCCCTAAAAGTATGCAACCAATTTCGATTGAAAAATGGAAGCATTTGACTTTATTTCTAAAAACAATGATTTGGCACCAAATTAAAAATAAAATTGTTCTATTCGTTATTTTTCGGAAATCAGGAGCTATTTAGGTCTATAGTCAAAATTCGGATACCGTTATATGAAAATATGAATTTGTAACCATCGACCTATGTTTGAGGTATTATTAAGATTTTAAAGAGTTCAAATGTCATCTCCCACTGGATTAGCTTTAATTTGGTTCATCATTAGAAGAGTCAGATGTGCTTAGAGTACGTGGGTACCTACCTTACGGTCTTACCCGCCAACACCAACTGCCAGGCTAGATCCGCAGACCTAGGGGCCCTGGCACCCGTGCAACCAAAACCTTCGGTCAGGTTTATAGCCGAAGCTATTACCAGTAGAACCTCAAACATTTCGAGACTGGTCACTCACAGACTATAGCCTCTGCCACACTTCATAGCCAAATCTACTACCATTAGGACTAGAGAGCCTGCATCTACAATGAAACAATCGCTGAAAGGGGATACAATGCAAAAGTGACCACCAATATCTCACGATATTAGTAGCCACCATGCATCTCACCCCTCCGAACAATTGCTCCAGGAATGGCCCGCCACAGACTAACCTCTGCACGTTTCCGTAGCCGAAACTACTACCATTTGAACTAATAACTGTAGGCTTTCCACAATGGAATGACCATTAAGAGAGGATGAAAAACAGATGCAAAAACCAACACCTCTCGATGCTAATTCCCACACCGTCTTCATCCTCACCCAACGATCATTCCACAAGCCCACAAAGTTCGGGATTGGTGACCCTACTAGTTTCGATCCATGATCCGGGACTAGTAAACGCAAAGGCACAACCAGAAGAGTTGATAGACAATTCTAGATATAAGTTTAAGTTGTAATACTGGTCCATGTAAGGATCATTTCGTAAAATTTTATGTCTATTTATACGTGTCCGTCTGTGTGTCTGTTGAAATCACGATAATGATCGCAATATTTAAGATAGAGCTGTGAAATTTCACACAGTTATTGCTAGTACTCCTTGAATATTTGGTATTGCAAATGGGATATATCGATTCACGATTTGGTGTAGCTCCCATATAAGTGTAAACCCAAAATTCGGTATTTGGATGATTTTCGAAACGTGTTTCAATCGAATTGGCTGTAATTTTGCATTTTGGGTTTTCATTGTATTATAGTACGAGTCCATACTAAAAACTATTGACCCAAATTTCAGATTAGATCCCATATAACTGTAACCCCAATTTTGGAAACATTTTTTAACCAAATTGGCTGTAATTTGGTATATTGAGTTCAATTTTCGTTGCACATCTCCGTACTAAAAAAAAAATATTTATATTGACCCAAGTTGCAGGGTAGCCCCCATATAACGGTAACCCCAAAATTCGGTATTTTGGGGATTTTCAACACCTTTTCTACCGCATTGGCAGTAATTCTGTATTTTGCGTTCTCTTTGTATAGTACGTGTCCGTATGAAAAACTATTAATATTGACCCAAGTTTCAGGGTAGTACCCACACAACGGCACCGCCAAATGGTCTGCATTTACGGGATTTTGGACACGTTTTTCAATCGAATTAATCGGACGCAAATATATATCGGAGCTATATCTGAATGTAAACCAATTTTCACAAAACTTAGTACACATCTTTGTAGACTTAATTCCATACTCCGTGCCAAATTTCGTGCAAATCGAAAGATATATCGGGATTTTGGTGCACCATTTACATTAAATCGGACGTAAATATATATGGGAGTTATATCTAAATCTGAACCGATTTCCACTAAACTTAGCATATCTAATTCTGGACTCAATTCAGTACTCTGTGCCACCATTTACATAAAATCGGACGAAAATATATATGGGAGCTTGATCTAAATCTGAACCGATTTTCTCAAAATTTAACACACATCATTCTAGGCTTAATTCAGTACGCCATGCCAAATTTCGTGCAAATCGAAAGATATATAGAGACTTAGGGGGCACCATTTACATTAAATCGGGCGAAAATATATATGGGAGCTATATCTAAATCTGAACCGATCTTCACCAATTTCAATAGGTTTTGTTCTTGGGCCAAATAAATGAGCTGTGCCAAATTTCGTGGAAATCAAAAGATTTATCGGCACTTTGGTGCGCATCCAATTCGGATCATGCGATTCGAAAATGCGATTTACAATTTACAGACGGACAGATGCATAAATCGACTCAGAAAGTAATTCTATGCATATTCTCAAAAGGAACCATATGTCTATCTCGTTTCCTTTTGCCTATTACAAGCATATGCACAAAGACACTACACTCTGTACCACAGTGTGGTGAAGGTATAAAAATCGATTTTTTGAAACCAATAACGGCTTTGTATGTGATCAGAAGGAAGGTATAATTTCTTTCAAAAATAAGACCTTGCTACTAACCGATTCTCAATATCGTTTCTTTTGAATCTATTTTTCTGAGGTATCATTTTTTTCAAAAATAACTCCATGCTGCTAACCGATTTTTAATATCTTTCCTTTGAAATCTATTTTTCTGTAGAAAAATTTTTAGATGCCCAATTCTGGAAAAAAATAAAACAATTCCTATTTCACCTAAGAGGACCTTATAACCAGAATATTCGTCTACCTACTTTCGTCTTAAAGGCAATTGCATCTATAGGCCCTTAAAGTTTTTTTCACTTATTTAACATATTTTTTTAAGGTTACTTACCCTCGCATTTTTGATAATTGAAATAAAGAAGACTATCATCCGAGACAACCTTTTTAACATCTTACATACAAATTTATGTTGTTCTAAGACCGTAATATAACAAGGAAATGACCTACGTCTTTCTCTTACCCTTCCATGTCGCCCCCTTCCCCCTCGACCTCTCAAAAACATGTGGCACTCCACATTTAATAATGTATAGACCACTTTACAAGCATACAAAATAAGTATTATGATGAAGCAACATGTGCACACACACACATACAGCTTAGATGTGTGTGACACCATACATCGAAAATGTAAATGTGTGTGTGTGTGTGCATTTTGCCATGTCAAAACAATGTCACCCAATAAACAACCAAAAAAATAGAAATATTTTTGCCAAAACGAAAAAAAAGGATCTGCCTAATAAAAACAAGTATTTATGTAAATGTAACAAAAACTTCACAACTACACATGCATAGAACAGTGTGTGTAGTCGCGTGTGTGTTTAATAGTGTCAACCATACGTCACGTACTCAACCATGAAATTTTTGCAACAACACTATACCACGTTCAACTAGTTAATCAAATATGTAAAAAGGGGAAGCTTTGCCTATTCTCCATGTACATATATGTGTTTTTCTATATATGTATATGTGTGTGTTTGTGTTTTCTTCATTTATACGTTACAAACCACCCGTTGTCATTCATTATTTGCCTTTATTCCCCATTGTGTAAATAAATGTTAGAGTGTATGTGTGTGTGTTTTGCACGTGAGTGCATTTTCCACGATCTTAAGCTCACACACACACACACAAGGAAAAAAATTAACTCACTTTCTGTTGGCTGCTGCTTTTATCTTTCACTAGCTTCTATGCAAACTTCATACGCTTACATTTTCTTCCCAACTTTATTTTATGTCTGTCGGTGTGTCAGCCATGCCTGCATGCATGCATATGTGGCATCGCACAAATACATGTTCAATGACAACAATTATTATTAGACATACACCATACAACAACACTACCCCAGCAACATATGACACCTTTTCTTACCACGACCACCACCACTACTACTACAACTACTGTTACTAATACAAAAACTAAGCTCCTTGGCATGTGTTAGTGTGATATCCTTTATAATTTCTGCTTCTTGATTCCCATATCAGCCCCTTCTACCTTTCTCTCTCACTCTCTGTGTATATTTGTGTGCGTCTGTGTTTTTTATTTTCTTTTCTTAATAATATTTTCTGTTGCCTTTGTGTCTGCCCGTAGCTGGTTTTTATGTGTGCATGTGTGTGTATATATTTGTGTCTGTGTGTGCCTTTAATGTTGTTTCTGTTGCGCCCCAGTAGTTTTCTGAATGTTTTCTTTTTATAATTGAATGTGTGCCGCCTATAAATAGTTGCTTATTATTAATTTTTTGTTGTAGTCGTTTTTATTTTAATTATTTTTTTTTTAATTTTTTGTTATAATTGTTTTAATTTAATTTTTATTTTTTTTTTTTATATTTTTGGTTTAATTTCACATCATTTGTCTATATCTCATTTTTTTTGATTTTGGTGTATATTATTATCATCATATTTTCTTATTCTATTTTGAGACATTTTTTTATTTAATTTTTTTTCTGTTCTGGTGTTTTGGTCTTTAATTTTTAATTATTTTCTTTATTCCCCCTTCATGAGGGACCCAAATGAATTATGTTTTTAATTTTCAAATATTTTTTTTAAATTAATTTAAAAAATCCCCTCGCAGACGATGAATTGGCAGGACTTATACAGGAAGCTGAAAATAAGCCACCGGAAGAGTTGACCGAAGAAGATAAAATGGCTCTATTGGGACGTCCCAAGAATGGTGATGTTGTTCGCGCACAATTGCGCATCAAGGAGAGTAAAGAATTTAAGGTAAGTGGACATTTTTTTATTATAAAACATTAAAAAAAGTATAGAAATTAAAACAAAATTTTAAATCAAATTTTATAATAAAAAATTATAATAAAAAATAAACATGAGATACATACAAATAAAGAACTGCCAGTCGTTGCCAACAGATTTATACTCTCAGCCTATAACACTCATACTGACTTTTGCACACTATTTTGGTTTTGCGGAGATGTACGGAACATCCGTGCAAAATTTTTTTAATAAAATTTATAATTTTTCAATATTATGAGTTTAGACAATACAAAATTCACCATTTATTTAAGGCATTTGTCTTAATTAATGAGTACCTGAATAAGTAGTCCTTTAGAACCCATTTAATATAGGTTTGTTAAAAATATTACGATGTAATAGCAAGGGATCAATGATTTGTATACTCCATTTGCTTCGTATGAAATGTACAGCGATTCTATTCTTTTATTGGAGGTACTAGGAAGATTGGATTCCATTTTCATTTTCGATCTGTGTTTGGCCAAAAATATTAGAAATAAATCGAATCGGTTACTCCAATAGTTTCATATAAAAATTTCAAAATTGTAATACCTTGAAGTACTGAACCGATGGATCCCATCTACGAACTAGGATTGGTAAAAATATTACAATGTGCAAAGTTTGTATTAAATCGGACACTCAATACGAATAATATGAGGTTTACAAATTTTCAAAATGTTGGCCCTTTGTGGGGAAGGCATTGGAAAGAGTGAACCGATGGGTCGCATCTTTGGACTCCATGAATCCAATCTTTGGTTTTGTATTAAAGGGATCAAATCGGATACTCCATTGGCTTTATATACAATTTTTAAATTCAAACACTTAGAGAGGAGCCAGACAAAATGGACCCTTCACCACTTTGGGTATATTCAACATATCGAATGAAATTAAACATGTAAATCTGTCATCTTCCAAATTTTGGTGAAAAATTGTAAGAAGTGTCACTTATATGGATGAAAAATTGACACATTTAAAGCAAAATATCACATCATAAGAGATTTACAAAATGATGACCATTTTATGGGTACAGGTACTTTCAATGTTTTGTGCATTCGGATAATGCCCATAAATAAAGGCATATAAAACCATTTCGGCAAATCGTAGGATATATAGAGACTTTGGTGCACTTTTTACCAAAAATTTGGGTATATTCAACATATATATGAAATTAAACATCAAAATCTGCAACTATTTTCAAATTTTGCACATCTTTCTATACTCAATTCAGTACGATGTGCCAAAATTTGTAAATAAATATATAAAGCAAAATATTTGGTCTAAACCGATTTCATAAAATCGTCACATTATATATGGTTACACTTATTTCAGTATGTTTTGTGCATTCGGATACATTTTGAGTTCTACATTTACTTATAAAACCAAATTTCGTGCAAATCGAAGGATATATTGGTGCACTATTTACCTAAAATCGGACGAAAATATATATGGGACCTGTACTTAAATCTGAACTGATTTTCACGAAATTTAACACATATCATTTTAGACTTAATTCAGTACGTTGCGCCAATTTTCGTGCAAATCGAAGGATATATGGGGACTTTGGTGCACTATTTACCTAAAATCGGACGAAAATATATATGGAGCTATACCTAAATCTGAACCGATTTTCACAAAATTTTGCGCACATCTTTCTAGACTTAATTCAGTACGCTGTGCCAAATTTCGAGCACATCGAAGGATATATAGGGACTTTGGTGCACTATTTACCTAAAATCGGACGAAAATATATATGGGAGCTATATCTATATCTGAACCGATTTTCAGGAAATTTAATACACATCATTCTAGACTTAATTCAGTACGCTGTGCCAAATTTCGTGCAAATCGAAAGATATATAAGGACTTTTGTACACCATTTACATTAAATCGGACGAAAATATATATGGGAGCTATACCTAAATCTGATCCGATTTTCTTCAATTTCAGTAGGGTTCGTCCTTGGGCCCAATAATTGACATTTACCAAATTTTATCCAAATGGGATCATAAATGCGACCTGTACTTAGTTTACAATTTAACATCTACAGACGGACGGGCGGACATGCATAAATCGACTCTGAAAGTGATTCTATGCATATTCTCAAAAGTAACCATATCTAGTTTCCTTTTGCCTGTTACAAACATATGCACAAAGATATAATACCCTATACCACATTGTGGTTTAAAAAGGTTAAAAAACATAAAAAATCTGTCGGAATTGGCGATAGATATGTACATTACACAACTATGCTGTTAGGGTATTATAGTTTTGTGCAACCTAGACTGCCCTTTAAGTATATCGATCTTTAACTTTTCTGTGAAAAAGGCCAACATTTGCATATGTATATATTTACTTCTGAAGGACATAGACCGGGAAAGTTTACGGTATATCCTAGATGAGTGGTTAACCCTTAAATTTGATACCAATTTTATTGTTCTATCGAGTCAGATATGGAAGTTGTTCTTAAACAGTCATAGGTATCTACGTATTCTGATATTGTTTAGTATTACCATTACCACATTCGAGGGTATACATTTCCAATAATTTTCAATTATGACGATAAGATAATTTCTGAAGGATCGTAAAGAAAATGAGAAATGTTTCGGTGGAGGGTATAAAAATATCCACTTTATGAAAATATTGGTCATAGGTAGCGTATGTTTATTGTCAACACTTATACGCCACCTGTTGGGAACCGAAATATAGATTGAGAACAACAAGGCGTAGATTTTTTAAAGAATAATTTTTCAAGGCCCTTACAAGGCGTAGATTTTTTAAAGAATACTTTTTAAAGGACCCTTGCTAGACGTGAATTTTTAAAGAATATTTTTCAAGGATCCTTACAAGCCGTAGATTTTTTAAAGAATATTTCAAGGCTCCTTACAAGGCGTAGAATTTTTAAAGACATTTTTGAAGGCCTTACCCAAGACGTATATTTGTTAATTCTTTTTTCGATGCTTTAAACAAAGCAAATATTTTTAATTTTTAAAGGCCTAGGCTTTATAATTTTGCATTACCCAAGTCGTAGAAAAAATTCAAGACTTTAACCAAGGCGTAGATTTTTAATCTGTTTAATGCCTTAACCAATGTGTAGATGTAAAAAAAAATCAAAGCTTTACAAAAGTCGATTTTTTTAAATGTTGTTTCAAGGTCTTACCCATGGCGTAGATTTGTTTTAATGTTTTTATGCCTTACACAGTGGGTAGATATATAATTAAATCAAAACTTTACATAAGTCGGCGATTCTATTTTTAAATGTTGTTTCAAGGCCTTAATCAAGGCGTAGAATTTTTATTCCACGTTTTTTAAGACCATAACCAAGTCGTAGATTTGTAAAAAAAATGTCCTATGTATTGCTTAAAGCTATGATTTTTTTTTAAATTTTTTTTCGACGCCTTATCCTAGTTTAAAAAAAAACAATTTAAGGCCTTAACCAGGGCGTACATTTTTTAGAATGTTTTTCCAAGGCTTTACCCAAGGCGTAGATTTTTAAAAACATTTTTTCTAGGCCTTACTGAAGGCATAGATTTTCCTAAGACAAGGACCGCCACAATTACAAGCAATACATTACAAATATCCCATGGGGAAGGCGATCTGGCAACTAATCAATATATAGCGGGAAATGGGCCAAAACTTTTTTTGGTAAATTTTACTCGGGCAGAACATGATTCGGAAAAGACAGGCTGTTGACATCTGATCGGTCATGGGACTCGGAATATAAATCCGCTGAAACTCGGAATATAAATTCGCTGAAACGTAGAGGTTAGTGGTTTTTATTAAATTTATAATTGTTCGAAATTTTAACGAGTTGTGGAGGAGTTACCGGAGATGATGAACCTATATACCCTATAGTTGCACTAAATATATGTTCAGTATAAGTATAAAGGGCTGCTAATGTAAGACCATACAGTACTCACCACATATGTTGGTACCTTGTAATTTCAATAGATAACATCGGATGCTCAATTTCTTTCATATGAATTTTTAGATGGGGTTATATCAAAACTTGGACATATATATATATATATATATATATCAGCCTTCCAAAACCCTTTATACCAAATTACAGCCCCATCTGTTGGAGAATGCGGCTGAAGTCCTCAAAATAACGAAAATCGGATGGTTCGGTTCTATGTGAGCTAAACCAAAACGTAAACTAATAGAATTTAATAAATCAAATTAGAGCGAATTCGGTTGAAAAAAATGCCCAAATACCGAATAATGGGTGCTACCCGAAAACATGGACCAATATTGATAATTTTTGGTAGGGAGGTTTTCAACTCAATGAAAATCCAAAATATAGAATTACAGCTATTTCGGTTAAATCACGTGTCCAAGCTTCCTAAATCACCGGCCAATATTGATCATGTTTAGTTGGAAGATTGGAAACCCCATGAGAATCTGAAAAATAAAATTAAAGTCAATTCGGTAAAAAAAAGTGTTCAAACCCCTCAAAATGCCGAATAATGGGGTTACCATTATATGGAGGCTACCCGAAAGCATGAGCCAATGCTGATAATTTTTGGTAGGGAGATTTTCAACTCAATGACAATCCAAAATTTGAAATTAAAGCTATTTTGGTTGAAGCACATACTCAAGCTCCCCAAAATACCGATCTCTAGGGTGTAGCGTTAATAGGATTTTTATTACCATTCCCCAACCTAAAATAACAAATTGATTCTGTTGAAAATGTGTATAAAACCCCGCAAAATACCATATAATGTTGGTACCGTTGTATGTGGGCTACCCTAAAAAGTTGACCAATATTGATCATATTAGGTAGGATGATTTGATACCCAATGAGAATCAAATGTAACAAATTATAGCCAATTTGGTTTGAAAAACGAGTCCATAATTCCTATAATACCGAATATTTGGGGGTACCGTTATATCGGAGAAATGATTGATGTTGACAACAACTGAACTGTTTGATGATAGCAATTGACCATAAAGGCCCAGCACTGGCTAACAGG